CCTTGAGAACCATCTGTCAAATCTGATGTGTTAAGCTATAGAACGATAAGTACCTGGGTAAGAGTTAGGGAGTGTTCTATTTTTATAAGATCTGTAACTTACTTTTCATGTCATTAATTGAAAAATGTCTTCTCCAGATGTTTTATGGCAATGAATATACAGATCTCTACCATTACATAATCAGAAGGTGTGGATAAAAAGTAGTTTGATAGAGTTGGAAATCAGTTTCAGAGCTACACATTACACCAAACTTTGGGTTCTCCTAAAGTCATGTAATACTCCCTGTTCTGCAGTTTCTAGGCCAGAAAAACATATACTAAATTACATTAATTCTGCTCTGTGTAGCTAGAATTACCAAAGGTTTTGGGTGGTATTTCTATTAATATTCCCTGAAGAATGATTTCATAGAGTATTTTAAAATTATCTGAACAGAAGTTACTTTCAAAAGAATAAAAGACATACTGATGTGTTCTCTTGAATCTCTTTCAGAAACGAATCCTGACATATTACACTATTTCACGTTTTAAAATGGAGCCTACTTCTCATTTTTCTGTTCTGTGCCCTCTTCAGCAAACCACACTGAAGTTAATTCTATGGACCTGTCTGAAGTTAATGATAAAAAATTTCTTGAAGATGTAATGTGCTTTACTTCAGGATAAACAAAATTTCAAATAAAATAGCAAGTGAAATAGAATATACATGGCTCCATCACACAACCAATAACCCACCTAGAGGGTTCAAAATTCAAGATCAAATAGAGTAATAATAATAAAAATGGCAACCATTTATTGGGCTTGTATTCCCCTCACCAGAGTACTTAGTTACCTTTTGATTTGCCAGTTACTACTAAAGGATTGTGAGGGCAGAAACCATATTTTGTTTTTTTTATAGTCATAACCTCAGGACCTAGAAATAGTGACTGATTTACAAAAGGAGCTCTAATAAATGCTGAATGAATTAAAGAGTGAAAGGATGGATGGATGGTTTGCCTGAATCCAAAGAAAATGATTTCCACTCATTCTAACATGCTGTCTCTTAGGGAAAACTTCCCAGAGATCTGAGCAGTCAAGATTGTGATGCACCAGTCTCAATTCTTACACATAACATAGAGGTACTTTACACTTAAGAACTTTCGTGGCTGCCTTTCCAGCATCTATTCCTTCTTCCTAAAGCTTCAGGGATCCAGGCTTTTACAGAGGTTAACTGTACCCTCTTTGGAGATGGAGCATATGACTTAGGCTAAGCCAATCAGGGCATGTCATTCTATCAGCTGCTGTGGGTGGGATGGGTTTTGGAAGATACATACATACACATGTACACATGTAGGCATAGTATATGCATGTGTGTAAATATATATGCATATTTATATATCATGAATGTACATATGTATATAAACTATATCTCTCTAGTATATAAATTCTGCATTTCTTAATCCCATATATATGTATATTTTAAACTTTGTTCTGGGTTTCAGTTTTTTAACTCAATCTTTTCAATGTTTTTGGTATTTGTAAACATTTATCTTATTGGGATTAGCCTTTTTATGATAAATCTTATCTAAGATATTATATATCAACTCGGTCTTGAAGGCATTTTATTTTACTTTATAACTATAGAAACCATGACAGATAGAAAAGGGGAAGTGTTGAACTGTCACATTTCATAAACAGGAGAAGATGGAGAACATCTCTCTCAACGAGGTTCCAGTCTACCTAGCTCCAAAAACTATAACACTAGGACTCAAAACCCCCAGGGATCATAAGCTTATTACACTTGGAGCATAACTGAATGGTATACCTGATTTCTGTGATCATTCAACCTTTATGAGAAACTTTGTACTTAAAAATCTATGACTAGTCACTTCAGGTTAAATTCAGATGACCACTTGGGATCTTACTCAACTTTCAGTCAATTAAACAATTTTTAGGCTGCCTTACATTTTATGTATTCCATTCTGCTTTTTCTCTAGATTCCAGGATTAGGCCTCTAACTTGAAAACACAAGATAAACAGTCACTGGGGATTTTCAGCACCCTAAGCTGTTTAAAGGCTGCTCTTTGGTGAGCTCTAATCTTTGTTCTCCTGTTTATTTTACCAGTTTGAGGGTGAGTCAGAAGGTAGAGAGCTCACCCAATTTTTCAGGCGTTCCTTATTTACATCTTCTTCACAAAACCTAGCAGTTCAGTAGACCAGATATTTCACTTGATTAATGACAAACTTGAGCTTCTCCAAGTTCCTTCACAGGAGAGCAGCGGGGTTTTAGGCAAGCTCTTCTGTGAGTGACCACAGGTCCTCTGGTAAGAAAACACAAAGCTCTCTGCAGGCTGTAGTGACCCTTCCTTGGCCTTTGGTTGACACAGTCACATTTAGTTAATTAGATCTCAAAAACTTAGAATGTGAGAAACAGGATCAACAGCCAAACACACGTGGGTCATTCTGGGGTGGGTTTAGGGGGTCTGAGGGGTGGTTGGAGGGGAGTTGTGAGTATTTATATGTATTATGCTTATCATCTCCCTGCTTCTCTTTCCCAGTCCCTCAAATAAGCTAAAGCAATTCTGAACATTATTTAATCTTTACTTGATAATTTAGAAGGGTCTTCAGAGGTCATGGATCACAGATCTCTACTACACACACAACAAAGTGTTAAAAATCTGGTGCTGGAGAAAAATAAATGGGGTAAGCGTTAGTTAACTTAATATGATAATGGACTAGCAAGTAGAAATGGATATAAAAATTCAGACATTTTTTATATTTCAAATCACATAATACTTAATGAAGTAAATTATGAGTAAAACGCAAAGCCAGGCACACACAGAAATCAGCTGAAAACAATGGGAAAGAACTCAGTTTTTCATATGCTTGCTCAATATTTTGAGAAAAATCTAGGGTCCCAAGCGAGCTTGTGTCTATAAATTTTTTTCTCTTCTAAATTACATTTAAATAAAAAAAAAGAAAAAAGAAAAAAAAAACCAATAACAAGCTTTGTTGGTAGGTCTATACCATTTTCATACATTCTAGGGGAGAAGGTAGTAAACAAAGTTTCTACAACTGTAAGTGATGCTTAGAGGAAAATTAAATCACTGAGTGATGCCAGGACTGATTATTCTACTGCACTTTAAAAGCAAGGGATTGCAGTCTGTGAGTCCAAAGTGGTTTCATATGGACTGCCACAGTTGTGGTTTACGCTTGAAACTATAACCTGTCAAATTAGAAGCAGGCAAGGCCTATGCTCTTAACGGCTCCACTTTTTACTGTCTATAGTTATGTCTACAAGTTCAGCATTTTTTTAATCCAGTTTAAACTCTGTTATTTGGATGAACAGAATCTCAAAACTACTCTTTGTTATCTTGGTTAGAGATTTTAGTTATGATACAAAGCTTAGAGAAACTGCCAATCTAATTTTTATTGCATAGGTGAAGCTGGCTTTCTTGTAACTATTTTTATCAACTATTGATATTTTATTATCCTGGTTACCACTATGTAATATACAATATAACTACAGGGGAGAGAAATATAAACCACATAAGCTCCCAAGCTTTTTCTATCCTGCACTTCCAAATATTTTATTTACTTGAACTTGTACCTTACTGGCTCATCACTCTTCCAGGCCTACAGTAGCCTGCTATTATGAGCTCAGTGTTACAACATGTTCCATTTCTTCTCTTCTCCTTGACTGTGAAATGCCCTTCCGGGCAACAGGCGTGGTTGACAGAGATCTTCCTGTCAAAACTGAAAAGCTACTTGTTCAATTTTACTAATGTTTTCTGTAGAGTCCTTCCTTAATAAGTTTTTCTTAATGCCCGTTTGTATAATATAAAAATGTTTAAAAAATAAAGCATAAACAATATTTGCTCTCTGTGTAATGCATCATAAGTGAAACCATGCCACAAAACAATCATATCCTGTTTAGGCCATAATGACATCAGAAGTACATGTTTACCATCTGCTTTGGACAACTTAGCATGTCTTTGGCCCAAGGCGAACTAAAATCATTTGCAGTTGCCTCAAACCAAGATAACCACACATTTCTAAGGTAATTGATACCTAAGAAGAACATTGCCTTTAGATCACAGTTCATGATCTAAGCATACTAATTCTTTAAAGAAGGTGGTTAAATTTTATAAAGCATATATGTCTATTGGACTTCCTCCAAAATTTAACATGAAATAATTATATTTTTAGCATGCACAGAGACTATGATAAAGTCAGCACTTAGCACGATCTTTCGGAGCTCTGGAATTACCTCTCTTGACCAATTTAAAGAGAAGGGGAAAAATGGAGATTTGTTTTTTTACATGTAAAAGTATTATAAGAATAAGAATGATAAGAATAATGCCTTATATTTTAGAAGGCACTCAGATGAAATCAATCACTACTTTTATTTTTCCACAAGTATTTAAGGAAACCATTTTATGAATAGAAAGCTAGGGTAAATAGAAGGCATACAATTTTCATATTCATTGTTAAAACATACCCAGGGAATCCAAACACATGTCACTAACTGTGTTTTACAGTGATATAAAGCATGGAATTGCCCTGGATCCTACCTTATCTGGTGAGTCCAACCAAAGGCTGCAACTACAGCTGGAAAAATAGCTCTTCACACTATATGCCAACGCAAAAGCAGTAAGGATTACCTTTGTCCACAAAGATAACTGGATGGTTTGGTACAAAAACTAAGTAAATATTTAATTATAAACTAGCTTTTATGGAATAAAATAGTATCAGTAAAAGTAAGATCCAGAAGGAAGCTTAGGGAAACCTACTCATATTCAAAGGAGGAAACAAAGAAACAGAAAACTGAAGTTGTTTCCCAAAGTCAGCTATGAAGGCAGAGTTTGACATCCTTTCCAGGGTTACTCCACTGCACAATGCTGCCTTCAGACATGAAACCACTGATTTGGACATTTCAGACCACATTTAAAGAACGTAAGAAGAGAACCAAATAGTATATGCACTGCAGTTATTCTATTACCCTAAAAAGGGAAGCATGTACTATACCTCCATTCTTTCTTGTTTAACTTCATCAATTTCATCATCTTCAAACATTGCCAAGAGTTCTCCTGTTTGGTCAATGGAGTTGAGAAAGTCTTGAGCGATTTTTTGTCTTTTGTTCGCATTATTACTGCCACTCAATTTGTCTTCATGAAGATAAGGGAAGGAAAAAAGAAATGTTCTTAAATAGGTTTACATCTGCCCCAATCATATGTATTGAATACTGCATATAAAATTCAGAACTGGAATTCCCTCATAATAATCTTCGTAAGGAGAATCCTTGTATCCAAAACAAAAGCATAAGTCATGCAGAATTAAATCATCTATTTATGTCATGAATAAGATTGAGAGAATAAAACCAAATGATCAATTAGCACAATAAGTGTGAATGGATTAAAATTCCTTACAAAAAAAAAGGAAAGACTCTCAGATTTGGAAAAAGAATCCTGCTACAGCAAGCCTAATTAAGAAAGTAAATAAAAACAAAGACATAAATAAAAAACACCAGGATTGAGACATGAAATTAAAAGAAGAAAATACTAGGTACACTACTGTGGCAATATATTTGAAACCTACGGGATGGGATCTTACTCTTTTTCTCATAAGAGGTAAAACTACCATACTTATTTAAAAGCAAAACATAACTCTGAGAAAGTTACTGCAAAAAGTCAGGAAGGAATGTAATATTGCAAAAGGTAATTAATACAGTTTAATACACAAAAGTATCAGTGTGAATTAGTGAGGAAGAGCTACATTATTTTTTAATGTGACAAATTGTGTGCTCCTATACCAAATAAAGACAACCCAAACATCTTAGGGTGAAAAAAAGTCTGTCACTCCCTACTCCAATACAGCTTTGTTACCACCCACCTCAATTATGTTGCTACTATCAAATATATTACACATCTATATATTATAGACACAATATTACAATTATATATCTTGTTTTATACAATTGCTTTTAAATCTATTAAGAAAGGAAAATAAATAACACAATTCTATATTCTCTTATATTTACCTACATAATTACCTTTATAGATACTCTTTGTCGTGTGTGTGTGTGTGTGGTGTGTGTAGGTGTGGATTCAAATTATTGTCTGGTACAACTTGCTTTCAGCCAGAATAACTTCCTTTAGTATTTTTTATATGGGTCTGCTAGCAAAAAAATTCTCCAGTTTTTGTGTATCTGAGAATATCTTTATTTTGCCTTCATTTTTGAAACACAGTTTTGCTGAACATGTTTCTTGACATATTTGTTGTTGACAGTTTTTCTTTTCAGCATTTGGAATATGTCATCCCACTGCTATCTGACCTGCATTGTTAATGAGAAGTCGGCTGTTAATATTGTTGAGGTTCCACTGTATTTGATGAGGTGATTTTCTCTTGCCTTTCACGATTTTCTTTTTGTCTTTGGCTTTCAGCATTTCTACTAGAATGTGTCTGAGTATGGGTCGCTATACGTTTATCCTACTTGGAGCTTGCTGAGCTGTTTGGATGTGATTAATAATTTTCACCAAAGTTGAGAAGTTTTCCATCGTTATTTCCTTGAATATTTTTTCTGCTCTTTTTTTTCTTCCCTTCTGTAGTCCCATTGCATACACTGGTTCACTTAATGGTGTCTCATATTTTTCTGAAACACTATTAATTTTTCTTCATTCTTTTTTCTATTTGTTCCTTAGACTGTATAATCTTTAACAATCTGTCTTCAAGTTCACTGATTCTTCCTTCTGTCAGTTCAAAGTTACTATTGAGCCCCTCTACTGAATTTTTCATGTCAGTCATTGTACTTTTCAACCCCAGAATTTCCACTTGTTTCTATAATTTCTATCTCTTAATTGATATTCTCTATTTTGTGAGACACAGTAACCATACCTTCCTTTTGTTATTTGCACATGGTTTCTTTTAGTTCTTTGAACACCATTTATAATAGCTATTTAGTTTCTGTCTGCTAAGCCTAACATCTGGACCCCCTCGAAGGCAGTTTGTGTTGTCTGCTTATTCTTCCTGTTTTTATGGATCATACATATCTGTTTCTTTGAACGTCTAGTATTTTGTTGTCGTTGTTGAAAATGGACATTTTAGGTAATATATTGGAGCAACTCTAGCTAATAATTCCCTCTCCTCCCTGGGGCTTGTTGTTATTGTTTGCTTGTTTGGTTGTTTGTTTAGTGACCTGGCTGGGCTAATTCAGTAAAGTCTCTTTCCCTCTTGGTATGCAGCCTTGGATGTTGCTCCTCAGAGGGTACAGCCTTGAGCATGAGAACAGTCTCCTCAATCACCAGGGATGACTGTGGTTTTAGTCAAGTTCTCTTTACCTGTCACTTTTCCTGATCTCTCCACTAAGTTTCTGGCTGGTGTGACCCTACTGGTATGATACACAGCTGTTAATCTTCCACTAACTGCTGGCTAACAGTTCTATTGTTTTGATAATACTCTTGTGCATAAATTGCTCCACAGATTGATCTAAATGATTTCAGGTCACTCTGCAGAGTCAAGGTTGGCCAGCCTTTAAGTTTTGCTGTGACCCCAGGAAGACTCTTTTTAGCTATCTCTTTCCTTTGTTAAACTTTTAGCTGGTGCACTGTTTTGTTTGTTGTTACTAGTATCACAGAGTGACCAGCTTCCCCTTAATTCCTCCACCAGGATCTCCATTGTTTTAAAACACCCTTAGCCATGAACTTCAAATGCTCTTTCCCAAATAGTCAGTCCCTATAGGGAAAGCTGCAGAGCTCTCTGATATTAAGGGCTGGCTCTCTCTTACAGGATGAATCTTTGTACTTCTGTACTAGAGCTGGGGTTGGGAGTAGCAAACAGCTTCTCTCTGAAAGACTTTCCTGGATCTAAGAGTGAGGATCTGGACAGAGATGGTAGCCCCTTGTCTTCAAGGCTTGTCTCTTCTGGTGTGAAGCTTATTCCCTGTGAGCAAGCCAGGATGTGGCAAGCAGGGTCCATCTGGGGTGGAGCTTCCCTATGACAAGAAGATGAGAGGAAGGCCCAGTCCTTTTAGCTGTGCTTGCCTAGCACAGAGGTTCTGCAACACAGAGATGAAGGAGACGAGAGATGCTGATCTCCTGCCCCTCTTGGGGTGAACCTGTCACCCTAGATTGGGAGGTACAGAAGCAGGTGTCCATGGTTCTTGGACACATTTGCCCAGAGTAAAGCTTCTATCATTTTGATCTGGGGCAGCAGGGTGGGAGAGGAGGAGAGAAATGAGGGGAGTATATTGTGGCTCAAACACAACAGAGTCTCACTGTTCTTAATGAGATTTAGTAGATTTTTTTTGAATATGTTCCTCCATTTGCTGTCTGCCCTTAGGACAATTTCTAAAGATTTTAAACTATTATTTTTAAAATGTTCACCAGTTAAATGTGTTTCACTGGGAAAAGAGTCTACCACGTTCCTCACAAGGCCACTCTAGAACTCCCATCTCAGTATTAGATGTATTTTACCTGAGTATTTTACCTTACAAATTATATCAACTACAGTGAATCCTTGAAGGACACAGGTTTGAACCGCGTGTATCCACTTACACATGAATTTTTTTCATTAAATACGTACTACAGTACGTGACTCTATGAGGCTGGTTGAATCTGGGGACGTGGAACCGCATGCATGGAGGGCCAACTGTAAAGTTACAGGCAGATTTGACTGTTCAGACAGTTGGCACCCCTAACCCCTGCATTGTTCAAGGGTCAACTGTATGTTAAAACTTTATATGAGACACACAAGATTAGAAAATTTAAATGATAAAGAGGAGAGGTTTGAAATAAATGAGGAGGTGGGGACATAAAACTGCTATGACAGTGTTAGTAAAACTGAATACTAGTCTGACTACTCTGAGCTTGGCATTCGAAGCACAGTATTAACAGCTATCACTTATTCAGTGGTGGGAGTGTACCAGGTGCTTTTCATGCAGTATGTTGAACTCTCATGGTCAGTAGTATAATTTATGACTTACAAATGAGAAAACTGACCCTCAGGGACACATAGAAAGGCAGCAGAGAACTGGGATTAATAGGAATTTAGGTCTGTTTTGCTCCAAGTCTAGATTCTTTATGCTCTCCATAAAGGGAAGCATTAAATTCATTTGGAGTTAAATTCTATGAGAACTGCAGGAACACTAAATAGACAACACTGATTAGACATTTGATCAGAATTTTTTTTGGCATGGCCATTACACTTGCTGACTTACTGAGGATCAATGAAAGTAACTGGTTCTCTTTCAAAGTTAGTTAACTCTTCAGTTGGTTTTTGTTGTTTTTTGATTCAGTTGGTTTTGAGCAATTTTCTGGAATTCTTCTGAATATAGTAGAGTTTCTTTAGCTACTTTAGCAGTGTATCTACCAGCAAAGGATACTACCACGCAGTGACTATATTCAATACAAAATAGATGAATTACTTCAAAAATACAACATATTTATTTTGATTAATAAGTATTATTTAATAATTATCTATTTTCAGCTTATCACTATTTGATTTCGCAACATAAATATTTTCTTTAAATATCCTAAAATGGGGAATTGAGTTGGAAAATCAGCTAAGGAAAGTTTCCCATTCTGTGTCAGACTTTTTGTTAGATTTCAAACAGCACAGAAATAACACATTAAAATGAGGTGACTTTACATTATAAAACATATCAGATACTTTGTATAATAAATTAACAAAAAAACATACATGCCAATTTCAAAAATTTAATAGTTCTGGCTCCCTCCATTCAGGACAGAGAAATTATGCTTGCTAAAATCAATTATGTTTTAAATCAACACAATTTTCTTAGTTTCATGACATTCTGGTGTAAAGCAGGTCATTTTATTAAAAAAAGAATTAAAATACCAGATTACTCTGAAGTCACATAATTGGAAAATACAAGATTTAACTGCCAACTATATAAATATCTTCAGTTTCTAAACTACTTTATTTAACAGAAGTACATATATTCTACTCTGATGGGAATATCTACATTGACATTGTATAAATGTGTCATCGGCATACATGTGTTGTACTGGTTTTAGTTTAGTGCTTTAAGTTACCTTCCAGAAGATCATCCTCGTCGATGCCTTTGACAATCTTTGATTTGTAGTCTCGGAAAAACATGTATTTTAGCAGTCTTCTAAGTTTTTTCTATTAAAAATATGAAATAAGTAAATAAAAAACCTTACACATACATTCGCTTTATTGATTAAAGACTATTATGATAACTAAATTTAATAACGTGTACCCCAGGATCACTGTGGGGGGGGATATAGCAATTCTCAGCATAGTACTGTGAATACAAAATTTAGTCATCAAATTAAACATAAAAGCTACAACACTAGCATTTTTAACTTTTATTTTATTTTTTTTTTTGCGGTACGCGGGCCTCTCACTGTTCTGGCCTCTCCCGCTGCGGAGCACAGGCTCCGGACGCGCAGGCTCAGCGGCCATGGCTCACGGGCCCAACCGCTCTGCGGCACGTGGGATCTTCCCGGACCGGGGCACGAACCCGTGTCCCCTGCATCGGCAGGCGGACTGTCAACCACTGCGCCACCAGGGAAGCCCCAACGCTAGCATTTTTAAAAGCACTTTTCATTTGCAAGTATCCAGATACTCCAGAATCACAATGATTTTTGTTTTTTGGGTTTTTGGGTTAAATTCCTTCTGAAGATTGTGATAAACTTTCCACACTATGCTGCAAATCCTGACTTTGTGGACTTTTGTACACATTCAGGACCAAATTTTATTTTTTAAAATGATTTACAAACAGCTAGACAAGGAGTTTGTAACAACTGCTTTAAAAAGCCAAGCACTCTCCTTTTTATTGTTTTTTTATTCTCTGAGAATCTTTTCTTTTATTTAGAAGAGTTGGTTTATGTTTTATATTTCTGGAAAACATTCTGTAATCTGAGAAACATATTTTTATGAAACTCAAAGCTGATGAATGATAGTTGAGTCTTAATGATGGCTTTCTTTAGGTTTATTAGAAGACTATAATACTGTGTAACTTTAAAAGTAACTGATAATACTTTGTCATCTGTTGTATGCTTACATTTAGAATGGATTATTACTGGTTCCTGGTCTTCATGTTTAAGATTCCTAATGACAGCTGAAATAAATTGTGTTTTACAAAGCTCTTATACATGCATTCTATTTGAAATTTTCAATAGCCCTGAGATACAGACAAATATAATCATCTCCTTTTTATATATAGGGAAAGCGAGATAGTCTCACAACTGGAGCTTATAGCAGGACCAGAAGTAGAACATGACCTCTGAACCCCCGTTTCCTTATTTACAAAGTAAGTAAAGTACTTACCTTAGAGGACTATTGTGAGGAATAAATGAGAAAATGAGTGAAGCTGCCTAGTGCAGTATGGAAAACACAATAGGCAGTCAATGACTTCTGCTTGAATATAAACCAGCATTATTAAGAGAAAAAACATATACCTGTATATAGGTGTTTGCTATCCTTTTTTTCTCTTTCCTCTGATTCCTGAAAATTCAGTACTTTAGATTTTATTTTGTCTTATATTACAGTCATGTAAACTACTTTAAATTCTGTTTGGAACACACCAGCATATAAATAAAATTACTATTTTGAGGAGAAAGATGAGAATAATGGCAACTATCATATTACAGCTAGGCTCTTGGTTGCTAAAAAGGTTCTGATTAACAGTCCTTCTAGACAATAGAAGGGTTTTGACAATCAGTGTGTATTCCTGAAGTTTCCATAGGATTTAAAACTTTGACTTCCCCGAAAGGCAGGGAAAAGTGTCAATGTGGACTATTTTTTGTGCTGGCTTGTTTACCTCTGTCGATGGAAAAGAAAAACTGACTGGACATATTCTGTAAAGTACTGATGTGAACTCCACTGCCCTCCAGCTGCCTTCGTAAAGGATCTTGGCTCAAGGTCCCTGTTCCTGCCAACGGCACCTTCAGGCTCTTTCCTCACAGCACCACTGCTATATGGTGCCTACTTCCCCGTCTTCCTAATGAAGTCACTAAATCCTGAACATTCTTACTCTTCACCATCTCTCTGAATTCTTCCTTCCCATCCACTTTCAGAGCCATCATACTAATCACAGTTTGCCTTGATTACTGAGCCTGCGTCCTGGTTAGATCCATTCTACATATAGCTGCATATAGCTGCATGAGTCTCACCCTAGGCAGAAACCTCCACTTCAACAAATCCTACAGCCTCTCCAATCTAATCACACAACCTTAAAATGCTGTGAGTCTCAAAATGCTTCTTCAACTAAATCATGCAGATTTCCTAAAGCAGATTATAGCTTCTTGATAGTGAATACATTTCTTTTCTCTTTATAGTCCTCATACCATATAAGAGTTAACGAACTAAAAATTTATAAAATTTAATGGTAGACTGGTCGAGGTGCAGTTTGTAGATCTCTGAATCCCACTGCAGAAGGAAGAGAAGTTTAGTCATCCAAGTTTAGTCAATCTTCAGTCAGTCAGAAGGAAAGCTTTCACAGGTATAAAGCAACTGGGTATCACAGAAAGAATGTTAACCAGGATATCCAGAAGGTCAGATGGGATGCCTTCTGATAAAAACCAGAGCCACAAACATACAAAAATGGGTAAATGTAATTAAAATGCCAGGGGAAAACAATGGAGAAATGAAAGATGGAACATTAGGAACTAAGCACCGCGTGCTCACTTGGGTTAGAGTCTACCATAACATGCTGTGGTTATTCAGTTAGTTTTTCCACATGTAACTCTCAGATGAAAATTTTATTAAAAACATGCAAAATGTCACAAAATATTTTCAAACTAGCTACTCTTGGAAGATAGTTATGACAAAATTATACATGTAAATACCAGCATAAATATTTTAATGCCAGAGTTCAAAGAGTAAGAAAGATAGATCTTTAACTATTAAAAAACCTAGATATTATGGGGTATATTTATCTTATACAATATTCATCTTGATTGATTTGCTTTTTTCCTTTTAACCAGTGTCACAGAAAAAACTTTGTATTTCAAGTGAAAAAACTATTCTATGAAAGCCTGTATAAAATTAGAAGAAAAATAAATATGCCACTTAGTTATATCCCAGTTACCAAAACAAAGCACCTGGTCAATATCTAGTGAACATTATGTAGCAATGAAAATGTCTAAATATATATTTAAGGATAAGTGAGAATTCGTTGTCAGCATACTTTTACATAAGTGCCCTTGTCCATGTAAAAATAAAAAATAAATTCTTTTGTAGTAAACCATTTTGTTATGCAAACTATGAGGACTCAAATATTAGTTCAACAGTTATGATTCCAATGTGAAAGCTATAAAACAAGGGTAGCTTCCTTACATAAGTGTAATTAATCACCAAGCTTGGCATTTCAATATGATGAAATTATTTTATATTACCTTATCTTTGCGTATCAAAAACAGAAGATCTTCAGCAGAGATTACCCTTGCTCCCCGGAGCTGAGAAACTTCAGCAGCTTGCTGTAACTAACAACAAAGGAAATTTTTCTCAATAATCTAAATTAAATATACTATAGTCATGATGTCTCAAGAGAGATAAACATTCTAAGAGTTAAAAACCTTTGGGAATAGTCCAGCAATCACAGTACTGCTTTTGAAAGCAAAATGTCTTATGTTTTAAGGTATAAAAAAATTGCAATTAAATTAACTGATACGCCTACCTGTAACTGATACAATAAAGAGAAATCCTTGACTTCTTTCATGCAAAAGAAAAATCATATGCAGCTTCCAGAAATGCATTAATGCACCTGAAAATAATTTTATGAAATTTTATCCTCATATCCATGTGAGCAACGGTTTCACTCAGTATCACTAGTTGAATAAGTATATTATTAATCTGAGCTCCCATGCTGGTATGATTTGAAATAGGCCCATTCAGAACTTTAAAAGATCAACAAAAACAGTAGCTGTTTCTAATATCCAAAGGAAAAAAAATAGTTTTAGTTTTGGCAAGTCTTCAGTGGGCAAAGGATTCAGTCCATAAATCATAATACTGGACTGCATTAATTTCTTTCCACACTAATCACATACACACAAAAAGTTAACTGTATCTGGAATGCACAACACAAAACATACTGCATGAAAAGTTAGATTCCCCCTGAAATGTTCATCTGGGCACTTATATCTACAAAGTTGAGAGTTTTCTGGGATTCAGAAGTCCTAGAAACACAATCTTACTTGAAAATGACCTGGAAAATAAAAGAATGTGAAAAATGATAGTTCTATTTTTTGGCACAGGCAAAATCAGTTTCTTATTTTGATTAGTTAGAAGGAACATAAAATACATCCAGCTGAAAAAAATAAAGATGCTGGAGAAAACACTACAAAAATGTGCCTGTAACTTCTTCCAAATTTGATCAAGCCATGGTGATTGCACCAAACCAACTCTATCCAATATTATAAAAATATTTACATATAAAAGCTGTTCTTGAATGCATCTTTCTTTGAAAGGAATAAATCTAACACATATTCCTAAGAACTAATCTTTAAAAAATGACACACTGTTATCTTAGCAAGTATAAGAAATCAAATAGTGCATTTGTACTAAAGAAATTCTGAATGGTCAAGAGATTTTGCTAAGTAAGCTTCAAACCTTGTCTAAATACACAGACTACAAAATAGACTATAAACTCCCTATGTGTCAGCCTTACCACTGAATTTCCTGGATACTGGTGGTTGGTATATAAACATAATTCTACCTAAATATAGAAATTTAAATTTAACTGTGAACCATTTAAAAAGAAATCTTGGGGGAAAGGTTTTTCAAAAGATGATATATCTACCCAGAAAGAAACTAAGTTTTCAGTGGGAAAAATGTGAACATATTTTTCTAAAAACTCGAAGAATGTCAGGGAAATATGTGTACATGTGTTTTTTCAAACAAAAACATTTCTATGACAGAATAAAATACACATAATCAATGTGGAGAAGAATATGAGCTCAGTATCCATTTGTCTGGACACAGAGAACCAGGAGGCCGCACTGTCAAGTAACTTTTTATTTTCTTAAATGGAGGATGGTGATGATTTGAAAACTCTAAAATACTATACAGATATAAGTAATTTTACTCATGTTAAGAAAGGACCAGGATAAGTATACCTCCCTAAATTGTCTTCCCAATAGATCAACTGTTTATCCACAACACATGTGAACAATCTGTATTTATAACACTCTCCAAAATGTCAGTGTATAAACACATTCAGTCGGAAAAAAAAGAAGAAAATGGAAAATAAACACATAGAAGAGTTAGCCATTTTAAAACACCTTTTCGAAACCAGTACACAACTATTGTAGAGATCTGGATCACAGTTAAGTTGTCATAATTAGCAGGAAAACTTTATCTTTAGCTTCCATCTACCTTATTTACTAATTTCCCTCACCCAACCTAGTGCCCTCACTAGCACTGGCACTGCTGGCACTCTCCAGTATGCCTTGGACTCCCACGTAGTGAGTCCTCAGGGCTGAAAGTTATCATTGTGTTACTGCACCGCAAGCCCATCTGGCCCCGACGTGTCCCACACTCCAAAACCATCTCCTCCACACTCTCACCTCCTCTTCTCTACAAAGTGAGGAGGGTGAGCTTCTTAACTAATTACAGTGATCACACTAAAGTGTGTATTGCCCACTGGCTAACTTCTAGAACTTTTGTCTACAATTACCAAAGAGACTAAAGAAACTTCTCTTTAACAACGTAAGCTTAAAAAGCAAGTTAGCAGCTTGGCAGTCCAGTTCCACAGGAGGCTGAGCTCAGGACCGGTGCACTCAGCGTGAAAACAATACTAGAACCAGGAAACCAAAATCAAGAAATAGTTCTAATACCTTCAGTGTTCAAAAAAAAAAGTTGATTCTATCAATATATTGTAAGAAACCCCTCAATTTTTTTAATGCCTGAAAATAAACGGAAGTTGTACTTCATTATTCACTGCAGCAAGTCAAGTATTCCTGGCAGTAACTAAAATGACATGAAATGATAGTAGACTTTATGATTTTTTTATTACAATGAAAGTAGTATACATTTAATTGCATTTATAAAATATGCAAGAATTGACATAGCAGAGGAATCCTTTAAGACCAATTACTGGTTGAATGGGTATACAAATTTTCTTAACTATATGGATAAAGGTATGATGATAGTAACTTTATAGAGATTTATTTGTAACTTAGTAAAATATTTTGCTAAAAGCATTATACAACAGGAACACTTTTACAGCATTGATTTGTTTCTGATAAATATTATTTCTATTTTTCAAAGTAAATTAAAAATATTATACTTGTAACAACTGTTTCAAAGAAAAAAATTTCCCCTAGCATATTAACACTCATCATGTTTGCATTTTAAATATTTTATGATACTTTATTTGCAGGTTGAGCATAAAAGGTACACTTTAAACTTTACATCTTTGAGCCCACAAATAAATCTCTTCTCAATTTCTCATTTCTATCAATGACACTAACAATCGAACAATTTTTTTTTCTCTATTTTGTTTTCACCAACTTCTGTTGATTTTGTTGGTTTAATTGGCTCAGGGTCTTGAATTTGCTCTCTACTTCCACAGTATTCATCTGAATGCAGGCCTCTGGGGCTTTTTGCTTACTGCTTTCTAAATTTCAATGTCTCCAAATGGTGATGTACCCTAGATTAAGTGTTAACATGATCTTCAAATATAATGTCCACAATTCTTGTTCCAGGATCTATGATAATTCAGTGTACTGACTTCAGTGTGGTCTTTAAAGACTGACTGACTCAAAGATTTTTTTCCGTATACCTTCATTCTCTTCATTATATGTCTTGTTTTTCTGTCATTATTCTACATTTAAGCTCCAATAATTTCAGTTCTATCTTAAGCCTTTGTGTACTTGTGACAGTTAATTTTATATGTCAACTTGACTGGGCTACAGGGTGCCCAGACATTTGGTCAAATGTTAATTCTGAGTGTGATTGTGAAGGTATTTCTGGATGAGATTAAGATTTGAATCCCTAGGCTGAGTAAAGCAGATTGCCACTCCCCACCACCAGCCCCTGCTAATGTTAGTGGGCCTCAACCAATCAACTGAAGAGGTGAATGGAACAAAAAGGCTGAATAAGAGGGAAGTCCTTCTGCCTGACTGCCTTGAACTGGGACACAGACCTTTCCAGCCTTTTGACTTGGACTAAACCGTCTCTTAGTTTTCAGGTTTTTGGATTTGGACTCGAACTACATTCTGTCTCTCCTGAGTCTCTGGCTTGCCAACTACAGAACTTGGGATTCTCAGCATCCAAAGCCATGCGAGCCAGTTCCTTATAATAAATCTATCTATCTGTACACACACACACACACACACACACGTATCCTATTGGTCTTTATCTTCCTCAACCAGTTAGATACCTAATGCTCTTGCCTCCCAACTGCCTTCTGAATAATATCTCTAGGTCCAGGACCACCATTCCCCCAACAGGCAGTTTATAAATGTTTGGTAAATGTTGGCAATCCACTTCCCCTTGACTGTTTTCAGTTTTCCCATCTATAATATAAATAAATTGAGCTAGATGAAGTCAATAACCCCTGCAAATTGGCTGGGGCCCATGTAAATTCAGCAGAAAGATTTCTCTAAAGTTCTAAAAGGTTTCAAAAGTACAGCAAAATCAATTCAATGATTTCCCAATCATTAGCATCCTGAAGGTGTTTCATTTTAACCACACCTCTATTGCACCTCTTTGTTTTGGGTTCTGGCTAAATCTCTGGATCCTTCCTTTCTGAGAATAAATAGTAAATGAATACATAGTACATATAGGAATTGTTAAAAGCTATGTGATGAAGAGGCAAAATCTTAGGGTAGGTTATCACTTGGCCTAAGATTTATTTGTCTTTCTATCCATTTGTCTATCACACACTAGTTATCGGGCCAGATATGAGGTTAGGCTAGGAAAGAACAGCTCTGCTTGCAACCATATTTGTCAGCCACGGATAACCTCAAAGACCCTCTCTGAATCCTCCATGTTGCGACTGAAAGAATTAAGAGATAGGAAATCTGGACTCCAGTTCTGGCCACTAAGTAACTACATAACTTCAGATACTTCAACTAACTTCCCTAGATTTGTAGCCTTATGTATTCTTTTCCATTTGAAATGGATAAGCAATGATTTTGATGACTAGAAGGAGAGTTAATAAAAAGTCTTAGTAGTAATAATTTATTAAGTACCTAATTTATTCTTAGGCAGTATAGGAACTGTGCTATGTGCATTATAAACATTTAATTCTAATTTTAAAATTATTATCTAAGTTAAGGGCTTCCCTGGCGGCGCAGTGGTTAAGAATCCGCCTGCCAATGCAGGAGACACAGGTTCGATCCCTGGTCCAGGAAGATCCCACATGCCGTGGAGCAACTAAGCCCGTGCGCCACAACTACTGAGCCTGTGCCCTAGAGCCTTCGAGCCACAGCTACTGAAGCCCACGCGCCTAGAGCCCGTGCTCCGCAACAACAGAAGC